GTCACAATAAGTTACCCAGGCTACCCTTCAATTCACTATGTAGCTTAAGCTTAAGCTACATAGTGACCCAAGCAGGCCTTGAACTTGAGAGCCTGTCTCAATCTTCCGAGTGGCTAGGATTAAAGCCCTCTTCCACCATGCTGAGTAAAAACACACACCACGCACACACCACACACACACATACATAATATTTGTGTATTGAGGGTTAGGGAAATGGCTCAGTGGTTAGGTATTTGTTCTACAAGTAAGAAGATCAGAGTTCAGATATCCCGAAACCCAGATAAAAGCAGGCTGAGAATGTAATTCTAACCTCAGAGGGTGGAGGCAGGGGACACCCCAGAGCAATCTGGCTAGCTAGACTACTGGTAAGCTCTGGGTTTGATTGAGATATACTGCCTTGGGCTGGAGAGATGGCTCAGCCGTTAAAGGCTAGGCTCGAAACCAAAAAAATATTAAGAGATACACTGCCTCAATAAATGAGATGGAAAACTCGAACTTCAGGCCTCTACACGAATGTGCACATATGTGCAAACCCCACGCATGCAAAAACATGCAAACCACAGAGACACACATCAAAAAATAGAAAAAAAGGAATTTTATTTTTTCCATTTTATGTGTATGAGTGTTTCTTTGTCTGTGTATGCAGTGCCCTCAATGGCCAGAAGAGGGCATCATGCTGGGAGGTGGTGGCGCACGCCTTTAATCCCAGCAGTCAGGAGGCAGAGGCAGAGGATCTAAGTGACTTCGAGGCCAGGTTGGTCTACAAAGCTACACAGAGAAACTGTGTCTGGAGGGGAAACACAGGGAGGAAAAGAGAGGGAGAGAGAGAGAGAGAGAGAGAGAGAGAGAGAGAGAGAGAGCGCACATCATATCCCCTGGAACTGGAGTCACAGGCAGTTGTGGGCCACTTAATGTGGGTGATGGAAACCGAACCCAGTTCCTCTGGAAGAGCAGTCAGTGCTCTTAACCTCTGAGCCATCTCTCCAGCCCTGCTTATCATTTGTTTTAAGACAGAATCCAAGCCCAGAATGGTGGCAATAGGTTTTCTGTCCTCCAGTAATAAGTTTCTGGGCTGATGTAGCAAGCCAGATCAAGCCGAATTGAAAAACAAACAAATAAACAAACAAAAACCAAAAACACATAAAAACAGTTATATTGAGGGCAAAGCAACTTGGGCAGGTTCACTGGTCTCCGAGATCAAGGCCAGAGAAGTCACATGCTCTAGCTAAGGCAGGGAGGTTTTATAGATCGTAGGTGAGGGTGATGACATGCCCACCACAAGGTGGGTTTGGACTAAGTATGACCAAAAGCTGAGTGCTTAGGTGGGGACTTCGGTGGCTGGCGGTGCCAGGGGAGGAAGCTGCAGTAGTCACCAAGAATGCAGAGCTGGGCTTTTTGGTGCCTTCCCTTTGTTCAAGACTGAGTAGGCAGGATTTGGAGAGACAGAGAGACAGAAATGAGGCTTCCCAGAATGTGCAAGGCAAGCCAGAGACTCCAACTAAAGAGGTGGCACATACCTTAATCCCCATAGGTAGATCTTGTGAGTTCAAGGCCAGCCTGGTCTACAGAGTGGGTTCCAGGACAACCTGAGCTACACAAAGAAACCCTGTACCAAAAAACAAAAACAAAAACAAACAAACAACAACAAAGAGTTTCTGAAGTTCAGGCTAGTGCCGAAGTTTTGTTTTGTTTATCGAGACAGGGTTTCTCTGTGGTTTGGAAGCTGTCTTGGAACTAGCTCTTATAGACCAGGCTGGCCTCAGAGATCTGCCTGCCTCTGCCTCCCGAGTTCTGGGATTAAAGGGGTGTGCCATCACTGCCCGACTCTGAACTTTTTTTTTTAAAAGATTTTATTTATTTATTATGTATACAACATTCTGCTTCCATGTATATTTGCACACCAGAAGAGGGCACCAGATCTCATAACGGATGGTTGTGAGCCACCATGTTGTTGCGGGGAATTGAACTCAGGACCTCTGGAAGAACAGTCGGTGCTCTTAACCTCTGAGCCATCCCTCCAGCCCAGGGGTGATTGCTTTATACACCCAAGGATGACTTTGGAATCCTGAGGATTAAGAAGCAACTGCAGCCTCTGCTGATTACCAGCTCAGCCTAAGTCATGTAGGGGCCCAGAAACTGCACCCTTAATCCAAGGGCTTCTGATTAAATGTCCATTTGAGCTGGGCAAGGTGGTGCACCCCTAGACTCCTAGTACTTGGGAAGCTGTGGCAGGCTGCCACCAGTTTGAGACCAGCCACCAGTAAGACCCTGTGCCCAAAACAACAAACTTCTCAGTGGGCTGAGAAAAGCCATAAATCTGCCTTTTGTAATATCTGATTTAAATTCTTTTATGTGCATATGTTTGTCTGTGTAGACCTATGTGTGGTGCCCACAGAGGTCAGAAGAGGCCATCCAAGCCTCTGGAGCTGGAGTTACAGGTGGTTTATGAGCCGCCCACCACCCCCATAGATGCTGGGAATTGAACTTGAATCCTCTTGAAGAGCATCAGAAATTTTCTTTTTCTTTTTCTTTTTCTTCTTTTCTTTTCTTTTTTTTTCCGAGACAGGGTTTCTCTGTAGCTTTGGAGCCTATCCTGGCACTCGCTCTAGAGACCAGACTGGC